GCCCCAACCCCTACCCCCGATGTTGCGCCGCAGTGCCCCGGGGGCGCGAACCCCAACCCGATCTACCAGGTGCTCTGAGGGTGTCGACGGCCCGTGTGGAAGGACGACGCTATCCACCGCCCGAGGGATGGTGCCCCTAGGGTTCCCTCGCGCCCAAAAGATTGAACCACTGCCCCCAATCGCGCTTTAAAAGCGACCCCTCGCGAGGGAGGAGAGGCGGGAGAACTGACGTGTTTCCGCCTTTGTACCCCAGAGCAAGGACACAGTCCTTTTTCCCCCACGCAGCACCCTTCCCTGAGACCCACTGCGATGACCGGTCTGTGTTCCTCCGTGGGCCAGAGCTGATCCTAGAGGGGCCAGGCCCTTCCTCTTCCTCACCCCTTTGCCGCATGGGTGGGACTCGCGCAGACCTGGGCCCCAACCCAGACGCCCAGGTCCCTTATGCGGTCCGTTGTCGGTCGTGGCCTCTCCTTTCGTGAGCCCTGGAGACATCAGCTCTTTCCCACCCCCTGCGCGCCGAGCTCCCGTCCCAAGTGTAACAAGTGTAACGGTAACCTCTCCCACTCCCTATTCAGGACCACTTTTTGTAATACTTTTGTAATCTATTCCTGTAAATAAGAGTTGCTTTGCCCGAGCAGGAGCCCCTAGGGCTGTATTTATCTCTGAGGCATGGTGTGCAGTGTGAAAGGAACTTTGTATGTTTATACCAAAGGGGGGCGAGCCGCTGGCCTCGCTCAGGTGTTGGAAATAAAAATGCTAATTTATACCAAGGTGGTCCTGGCTTTCCCTAGGGGTCGGGGCAGACTACTGACCCAATACAGCAGCTAGCCCTGCAGGTGGCAGGCGGGTTGCACGGAGGAGCCGGGAGAAGGAAAGGAGGGGTACGTGTGTCTCCAACATGTGGGGAGGTTCTTATGACCATGACCAACATGATCACACGTCAGTCAGCGGTTCTCATGTCAGATGCATATTAGAATGATCTGAGTAGTTTATAAAGTGATCCATGCCTGCCCCCACCTCACCCCCGAGAATCTGTTTTATCTATCTGCCCCAGACACCTGGGGCCAGATATTGGTATTTCCTTTTTTTAAAGTATATTTTTTATTGATTTCAGATAGGAAGGAAGTGGGAAAGAGATAGAAACAATGATGAGCGAGAATCATTGATCAGCTGCCTCCTGCACACCCCACACTAGAAATTGAGCCTGCAACCTGGGCATGTGCCCTGGTCGAGAATTGAACTATGACCCCCTGGTTTATAGGTTGATGCTCAACCACTGAGCCACACTGGCTGGGTGGATATTGGTATTTCCAAAAGTTTCCCAGGTGATTCTGACGAGCATAAGAGATTGAGAATCACACTTCTCCATACACGGAGGAGAGCCAGGAGGATCACTGAGAAGTCATGGCCCCAGGTGCCCCTCAGAATCCTCATGAGTACAGAGGGTGTGCTATGGTGCTCACCGCATTACAAGGAAACACTGAACAAATGTAAAGGGGCATGGCAAGCGGCCTGGTATTCACAGGCTCTTAGCAATAGGTGTAAACACAAGGGGACATCGTTGAAGGTGAGGCAGGTCCAGACGTCTCAGCTCAGCCAGTAACCAGGCACCTCAGGTAGAGCATCTCAGCCAGCACTCTGATCCCCTAAGACCCAGACTCTGCAAGGAGAGGGGCACATGCAAACCTGCATCCCCGCAGGTGGCACAGATGCTCTCATCAAGATATGGACACTCTGGGAGCAGAGAAGGGGCCACTGATTTAGCCAAGGTGCTGGGGAAGAGGTGCCACTTGAGCTGTATCTTGAGAAACAAGAAAAACAACCCACACACAACCACAGGGGAGAGATCATACACACACATACACACAGAGGCACTTCTGCCTTCCCATCCTCCCTTTGAAGGATGGCCTGGCAAAAATTCTTCCCCATTCACATGCCACCCCAACCCCCACCCCCTAACACTCAAGACATCAGTGCTTCCTATTCCCACCCTTACAGACCCTTTTCCCCTCAAAAACCTTATAAGCCTACTTTCAAGGGCTCTGCTCACCAAGTGGGGGGCCCTGGGGAAAGCAGGAAGGGCCTCATTTCCTATCTGAGCATCTGCTCTCTGCTCCCAGGAGAGCCTCTGCTCTCCCCAACGCAGGGTCCCTGAGGAGCCAGCGGAGTTGCTCTGTTACTAATGATCCTCAGCTTGTCTCCTGGCTGCTTCCCCAGATGTGCCTCTGGGTTTCTTACACTCGTTGAGACCCCTTGGGGCTCATTCATGAATTCATTCATTTAACAGATGCCAAGCCCTATGCTGGGTGAACACAGAGACCAGTGGACACAGTTCCTGCCCTCGGGAAGCACCCAGACATTTGGGAAAATTGTATCTGTCAGCAGCTGGTTACATGACAATGAATTAAGTGCTATAATGGGGGTATATGCAGCAGAGGAACACAGTAGGGACAGAAGGGACAGACAAGCAGGTCGCCCCTAATAAGAATCTTGAAGGAGTTGGTCAGGAAAGAGGAGCCAATGAGGTTGCTCCAAGCTGAGGAGACAGTAAGTGCAAAGACCCGGAGATGACAGAAAGCAAACTGTGCCTTCATGAAACCAAAGCTGCTCACGGGGAGGGGCCAGAGGTGAGATGGAGAAAAAGCAGAGGCAAGGCTACAGTGATCTCATTTGGGCTTTATCCTGAAGGCAATGGGGAGCCATAGAAAGTCTAAACAGGGGAAGGATTCAAATAAATCTATATTTCAGAAAGGCCAGTCTGGGCTGGCAGAAAAGGTAGGATGGGAGACATGTCAGAAGTGCCACCAGAGGACACACAATGTGGCCTGAACTGGGATAGTGACTGGTGATGGGAGAGAAAACTTAAGAGTGGAAAGAGTTGTGCCAGATAAAGCGTTGGTATTGAGGGTACCGTGGAAAACTTGGAAGGCACAGTCCTTACCCTCACACAGCTGAAAATCCACTGGGGAAATAGCCATTAGACAAAGAACCAAATGGACAAATGCAATGTTATAAATGCTGAGAGGTGCTGTAAGAAAAAGTAACAAGGGGGCATCTGTAATACTTTCAACAATAAAGATCAATGTTTAAAAAGTAAAGAGGGAAAGTAGGGGAGGGTGGGGGTAAGGGGAAGATCAACCAAGGACTTGTATGCATGCATATAAGCCAAACCAATGGACATGGACAACAGGGGGATGAGAACATGATTGGGGGCGGGGAGGTTGGTGGTTAATGGGGGGATGAGGACACATTTGTAATACCTTAACCAGTTAAGAAATTTAAAAAATAAAAATAAAAAAGTAAAGAGTGTAATGCCAGATGATCATGGGGTACGAGAAGTTAACCAGGTGTGGAGAGAAGGAGGCAGAGTTTCTACACGGAGGGAATTAATTACAAAAATGAAGAGGGCTCCGGTGGCCTAGAGGGAGCTAGTGTGCAATTAGGGAAAGGTGTCCCTCCTTCCCGAGGACACTGCCGTGCACAAGGCAGCCACGACTGGACCGCAGCCCCACTCACTGCTCAGCCAGGTGCACTTGTGCAGTGAGCAGCCCGCATAATCGTCACATGGAAGAGGCACTACAGAATATGCAGCCCACCAGATGCAGTGGAAAGGAGTGGGCAAGACTGGCGAGAAAAATGAGCAAGAGGGGGAAGGCAGAAGAAAGAGGAGATGAGGTGGGAGGTAAATACAAAAATGATGATGGTGCTGCTGCTGAACAACAGTTGGTCCTAGCTCGGGTTTTTTTCTCATGTGTAAAATACTTAAATCCTCTCCACACACCTCACCACTGTTAAAGGGAAATGTTAAAATGTGAGACGGTGTAATAGTTGTGTTTGCACGGCCCATAGTTATTTTTTCCAGACAACATTTAGCAGCAGGTTTTAATTCATACAGAACTTCCCCAGTATCCGGGGCGCGTGAGTCCCAGACGATGTCAATGGCTGCATGATTCCTGGGATCTAAGCCCGGCTGTGCTGCTGACCTGTTTTGAGATCTTGGGGATGTGGCTTAACCCATCTGGACTTGGGCTTTCTCTCTGTGGAAGAGACTAGTGAGTTTAAAAGGTATGTTCTGAAATTCTTTAGTAATTCACTCAAAGCATTTCAGAAAAAGATAAATGAAGTACATTTTTTTTTTTTACAGATAAGGGAACTGGGACCATGACAAATAGATTTTTCTCAGCGTAAGCAAGTAATTTATAACCTCCTGCTTTACTGATCCTCCTTTTACTTTTCTCTATGTTTTATTGAGATACAATCATATACCATAAAATTCACCCTTTTAGAGTGTCCAATTCAGTGGCTTGTACTATATTCCCAATCTTGTGCAACCATCCCCACTAATCTATTTTCATTTCTATGGGTTTGCTTCTTCCGGGCAATGGAATCACACACTACGTGGTCTTTTGTGTCTGGCTTCTTTCACTTAGCACAATGTGTTCAAGGTTAATCCATGTTGTAGCATTTATCAGTACTTCATTTCTTTATTTTGCTGAATAATATTAAATTGTATAGATATGTCACACTTTGTTTATCCAGTCATCAGTTGATAGATATTTGGGTTATTTCCATTTTTTAGCTGTTATACATAATGGTGCTAGGAACATTGACCTGCAAGTTTTGGGGTATACATATGCTTTTAATTCTTTTGTGCATATACCTAAAAGTGAAATTGCTGGGTATATCATAACCCTATGTTTAAATTTTTGAGGAACTGCCAAAGATTTCCCCAAAGCAGCAGCACCATTCTAGATTCCCATCAGCAATGTATGAGGGTTCCAATTTCTCCACATCCTAACAACACTGCTATTGTCTGTATTCTAGCCATCATCCTAGTGGGTGTGAAGTGGTATCTCATTGTGGTTTTGATTTTGCATTTCCCTAATGATTAATGATGCTGACTTTTCCTGTGCTTATTGGCCATGTGTATACCTTCTTTGGAGAAATTGAGTTTTTTAATCCTTTGCCCACTTTAAAATTAGGTTCTTTGTCTTTTTATTGCTGTGATGAGTTCTTCATACATTCTAGATACTGGACCTTTACCAGGTATATGATTTGCAAATATTTCCCCTCGTCCTCTGCATTGTCTTTTCACTTTCTTGCTTGTTTGCTTTCTTGAAGCACAAATTTGTTTTTTATATTTTGATAAAGTCTAATATGCCCATACTTGCCTTTTGTTGCCTGTGTTTTTGGTGTCTTATCTAAGAAACCATTATCTGATCCAAGTTCTTCTAAGAGTTTTATAGTTTCAGCTCTTACTTTTAGGTATTGGATCCATTTTTAGTCCATTTTTGTAAGTGGTAGGACAAAAAAAAATCCAACTTCATCCTTTTGTATGTGGATATTCAGGTGTCCCCACACTATTTATGTTGGAAAAAAAACTGTATTTCCCCATTGAATTGTCGTGGCACCCTTGTAAAAAAGTAATTGCCCATAAATGTATGGGTTTATTTCTGGACTCTCAATTTTATTCCACTGATCTAAATGTCCATCCTTATGCCAAGCATACAGTCTTAATTGTTGTAGCTTTGTAGTAAGTTTTGAAATCAGGAAGTGTAAGTCCTTCAACTTTTTTCTTTTCCAAGATGTTTCAGCTATACTGGGTCCTGTGCATTTCATGAATGTACCTTTAAGTAGCTTGTCCTGGTGATATTTTCAAGAACCACAAACCTTGCTGGGTACAATATGGCATGAAAATGTAGAGTAGGTTCTTTTTGGTGCCCAGAAAAAATAGTTATA